TCTCCCCCCCCCCAAAAAAAAAAAAGAAAAAAGAAAAAGCAACCTGCTCCACTGTTGACTAAGTGGGCAGGAACCCGGGTAGGTGCTCTGTAGTACTCAGACCCTCTGAGCCACAGCTCCATACAAGAATGGGCCTTACACTAACCCTTTAATCTCTCTGAGACTCAGTTTCCTGGTCTGTAAAATAGAAGTCAGAATAGCTATCTCTCAGAGACATGGAAAGGGAGACATGAGAATGAATATGGGGCATTGTCCTGCCTGCTGAAGGACCCTTCTGTTTCAATCACTTTGGGACACCTACAGAATTGAGGAAAGAAGGCCTGAAATGAGTTATGAGAGAGTGTGGTCAAAACAAACAGGACCCATTATATCAGAGTTAGTCATAACTAACACATAGAACTCTAAGAGGTCTGCTTTTTAAATCTCTGATATGCCTAAGCTGATTAAATTGAAATTTAAGCAGGTAAGTATAAGTATTTTTTTTATACTTTTGTTCTTTTCATTAATTACCCATGATTCAATAGAACAGTTCATTTTCTAAGTCACCATTTTAACAGCATCATTAAAATTGGTAATTAACATATAGTAACTATACATATTCAAAGTATACAAATTTAAGTTTTGAAACAAGATTGTTAAGTAGTTGAACCAGTAGACGGTATAAGGGTTACATCGCTGGACTCCCACATGGCCGACCATGTTTCGAGTCTCGGACCCGGTGGCTTTAAACATAGGGCATGTCTGCGTGTGTGCCCAAAATCCCAAGAGGAGAATGAAGGAGAAGGGACTGTGTCGTGGCCATCCCCCCAGAAGGTAATTTCTTACTTTCTGTCTCTCTCTCAAGCAAGTGCATGTGCCCTAGGGCAAAAAAAAAAAATCTCTCTTTGAAAAAGAAAAAAAGATCGTGTAAGTACCATTAAAAATCAAGCTAGCAAACATGTCCAATACTCATTCAATCCCCTTAGTCTTTTTTCATTTTAGCCATTCTAACGGGTAGTTTTAGTTTCTATGTCCTTAATGACTAATGAACTCAATCCTTTTTTTTATTTTTTTTGGAGAGGTTTTTGCTCTAGGGCACATGCGCTTGCAAGAAAGAGAGAGACAGAGAGACAGAAAGCAAGAACAGTAACTAAATGATAAAAAAAAAAGTTACAGCTGACAGACTTAATTTCCAGAATTGGCCGTCTCTCTATCGGACCTCCGAGAGGTTAAAGCTTGCGCTCACAGCTGATAAGTATCAGGTCATCACATCTAAA